ATCTTGCTGGACCCTTATAGCCGCATGCCGGCCTCGTCCTGGACTGACCACAAGGAGGGGCTGGAGCGCGGCCAGTTCGACTATGCTCTGGTCTAGCTGGGGCCCCCGGGGCCTGGGCAGGGGCCCTTCCCCTTCAGCTGCTGCTAAGGAAAGGGGCCGAGTTTGGGGATCCTCTGCCCCGCTGTGTTTCTCTGTGAGGTGTCTGTTTTGGGGGGTCGGCGCGGGATCCTCCATCTTCGCTGTGGCTTTTCAGTGTTTCTTTGTGTCGTAGAGATGGGGGCAGGTGGGGGCCAGCCAGGAAAGGGGAAAGTGGGGTTTGCAGGCCTTTCGGGGGGGGGGGGCTTTGCAAATGGGGACCTTGTTCCGCCAGCCCCCTCCTCCCAAAAAATCAGGGCAGCCCAAGTAGCATTCAAATTTTGCACGCTTGGGAATCACCTATAAGCCCTTGCCTTATGCTGGCTGGTTAAAAAAAGATATTTTTTTTGCACCCAGTGGCCAAAAGAAAACCCCTCACCTTATCTCCAAATTCACCCGGAGGCCTTAAATCGCCACAAGGCCTCTTAAAAGACCCTTTTCTGGCCAGCTGGCCTACCTCGCAGGGCTGTGGGGAACATTCCCGACCGAAATGCCAACAGGTGACGGGATGCCTGGTTTTAGAAACAGCCTTCTCGGCCTGGGATAAGAGTGTTGAGGGGGAGCGCGGCCATTCGGTGGACTAACATGCCCCATGATTCCCAGCCTGGGAACTAAAGAGGGCCGCGGAGGGCCCAGGACGATGGTGTGTGTTTGTTTACCGTCCAAACCAAAATGCACCCTTCTTCTTCTTCTTTTTTTGCGAGCAAAAATCTCCTCTCTTTTTTGTGTCGAAGGGTTTTCTCTGTGGGTCGGTGTTCGGTGTGCACAGTCAGTGTATATATGTGTGTGTGTGTGTGCATTTGTGTATGTCTGTGTGTGATGACTCAGTGTGATCTCCTGAGAGTTTCGGTGTTGTTCCGATAACAAGCGGAGCTGGGATTATCCTGGCAGGAGCTCTGCGGCCCCGTTAACGATTCATTAATAACGGGGATTAGGAGGAATCATGAGGAGAAAGAGGATTAATCGAGGGACTCGGGCCAAAAGTGGGGATTAGAAGCACCTTTAGAAGCGTTAAGACAATAATTCTCAACCTCGGCAATTTTAAGAGGGCTGGACTTCAACTCCCAGAATTCCCCGGGAGGGGAATTCTGGGAGTTGAAGTCCAGCCCTCTTAAAATGGCGCTAAGCTTCAGAAATAATGTTTTAATTTAAAATGACGGGGGAGTCAATTTGTTTGGTCCTGGGGAGGGATTAGCAAAGATTAAAGCCGGGGGGGGGGGAATCATGAATTTAGGAGAACTGACCTGGAAGACAACCTGCCCCCCTCTTGGGTGAAGATGGGGGTGGGCGCCTGAATATGGGGTGGGGGGACGTTCTCCCCCTGCCTTGGTTCATTCCAACTTCTGCCCCAAACATAGATGGGCCTTAGAGTCCAAACCATTTGAGGGAGAGCAGATTTGGGGGGGGGGGCTGCAGGGGACCAGGGATATCCCCCCTCCCCTCTGTAGGGCTTCTCCTGGGAAGGGGGGATGTATTGCTCTTGGAGAAGAGAAGGAAACTGGCTTACAAACCCCTTTTGGAAAATCTAGGTTCAACGGAGCAGCCCCAGAGTGTAAATTATTTTGGGGCTGGGGGAGAGATTGGAGAGGAAATCCATAATAATAATAATTTTTTTTTTTTAAAAAAGCATACGGTCGTAATTATTATCTGTGGCCTGTTTTTAAAAGGAGGGTTTTAACCCTTTCTTGCTGCAAGGGCCCTGACGTGTGTGTTGTCCCCCCCCACCTCCCTGGGGGTTATTGGGAGGGGGTTCTCTTCTCTGGGAACCCCCCCACCCCAAATAACCGAGAGGTCGATGGCTGCTATGCGGCTTTGGTGGGTTCCGGAAAAGTGAAAAGAGGGATAGAGTGCCTCTGAACATGGAGGTTCTAAACCCCCCCCCCACCCCGCAGGGGGGGATGGACTCTGGAGCATGCGTTCCATCATAAGCCCCTTCTTCTCCCGCTCCCCAAATAATGGGGTTCAGGAGGATGGGGACAAGCCAGCCAGAGAGCTTTTTCCAAAGAGGAATGGGTGTTTTCCCCCGGCCACCCACCCACTCAATTTCCCGTCCCCCTAACATCTAAAACTCTGCAAAAAAAAAACAAACCAAAAACCCAAAACCCACAACCAGGCCTTGAACCCAGGTGCCTGTGGAGGATGGGTGTTGTAGTCCAGTTCCTCCAGAGAGCGGCGTGATGAAGCCGTCAGAGGCTGCAGCCAAGTCAACTATAAAACCAGGCTGAAGCGACGCGAGCCGGATCCTTATGTTTCCCTGGACGGCTCCGTGGGCCAGATCTGAACCACGTAGTGGGCCGGTTCCGGCCCGCGGGCCTTGAGTTTTACACCCCTGGCCTAGAGTCTCCTGCTTGAGCAGGGGGCTGGACTGGAAGAACTCCAAGGCCCCTTCCAGCTCTATTCTGAGTGAGTGATCTTCCGACGGTCTTGGCTTGCAACCACGAGGACTGGAGCCTTGATGATAGAATTTGGTTCCTTGCAGCCGTCCTACAGCGCAGGGCCTGTGGAGGCTGGGCGCCATATTGGAAGATCGGGGGGGGGGAAGAGGGAGGAGGCTTTGCTGGTCAGTTTGGAGGGTGGGGGAGGAGAAGAAATAGGACGTTCCCCCCCCTGAACAGTGGGCAGCTTGTGGTAGGGAGTTCTGCAGACACCCTCCCTTTAGAAATGAGCTGGAAAAATAGCCGAACCCCCAGGTTTTTGGGTGGGTGGGGTGTCTCTCTTTTGTGTCATCCTGTCTGTAAGAGCCTCCCACCCTCTGGGGGGGGGGTTGTGTGTCCGTCCCCAAATAAAGCTGTTTTTGGTTGCTAAGTTTGGTCTCTGCCTCTCGCTGTCCAGAAACGGCACCATACCAGATGCTGGTCAGTCCTGGGGTACGTGTGTGTGTTTGTGTGGGGTGGGGTGGGGGGAATGATAGCGATAGCAATAGCATTTGGGCTTATATACCGCTTCATAGGGCTTTCAGCCCTCTCTAAGCGGTTTACAGAGTCAGCATATCGCCCCCACAGTCCGGGTCCTCATTTAACCCAGATAGATAG